AAGGTAAGTTTCAAAGGTTTCAAGTTCAAGATTTCATTAATAAACAGAAAAGAAAAATACGTAAATAATTGTTGTAAACATCATCATTATTAAATTATTATATTATTACATCAATGTAAAACGAGTATATTGTTTATAACAATTTATTATTATATATATAAGGAGAGTAGGAATATGAAACGAATCAGTCGAATCGATAATATGGATAAATAAATATTTTGTTTAATAACAAAGAATTTCAATTATTTAAATAAATAGGCAATATTGTTGTTTTTGGTGTTTTTAAATAATTTCAATAGACAAAGTTTTCCGAATAATACAGTTATTTAAATGGACAGATGTTTTAAATAACACATTATTACAGTTATTTAAATAAATAGACAGAGATTTTTAATAACAAATTAAATTGTAGTTATTCAGATGAATGAAGTTTTTTTAATAATTAATTTCAGGTAAAAAATAGACAGAGTTTTTTTATAAACAAAAGACAAATGAAGTTATTTGAATATAAATATTTAATTCTTTAAAAAATAGACAAATTGCTCAAAATGTAAAAACAGCAGTACATTGTTATTTTTTGTGCTTATAAATAAAAATATATAAAGTCAACGGATTGTTGATAAAAAAATTGGATTTTAACAAATTTAATACAGTTTACTGATAATTTATAATTTTAAATTGTAAAATATTTTTTTTAATAAATTAATAATATTAGCAGCATCATAATAATAAAAATCAATAACAAATTTGAAGATTTTTTTCTTATTACTTAAGTTAATATTTATTTAATTTTAAACGTATTTATATATTTTAATTAGGTGTAAATATTTTATAATATAATTGTGAAACCTTCAAACAATTTTATAAATATTAATGTAGTATTAAGAAGATTAAATTCAAACTATAAAAATTAGTGAATAGTAATAAAGTCACAACTTTTACCTGTAGTTTATAAATAAAGCCATTAGTTTCAAACAAGTATAAATAATATTAGAAAAATGTTCACTAAAAATAAATTAATTAGTTGTTTGAATATATTTTGTTGTTTAATGTGGTTTTTGCCTGAAGCAATGTCCTTATACACCAAAACAACGGTAAGTAATTTTAATTTACAGGAATATATAAAATTAAACAATATTGTTTATTGTTTGTATGTGTGTGTATATATCATATATAAAATTATCGTGTCACAAGGTTCGTTCCCCGAAACGGCTTTACCGATTATTACCAAATTTGATATGCGTATTCAGTAGGCCTGTGAATCGGTAACTATCTATTTTTCATATTCCTAAGTACTAAGGGTAGTTCATCACCCTTAATTTTTTTTTGTAAGTTTTGGACATTTTTTTTGTTTTTATTTTTTTATAATGTGGCTTTAAAAATACATACAACACTGAAAATTTAGTTTTTCAACCAACCCTTATTTTTCTATAGCCATTTTAGTAACACAATATATTTTTATCATTGAATATTTTTGATATAATTTCAGTTCAGGTTATTGAGGTTGAAGAAAAGCAGAAATTTTACTTTAAATTACAATTTATTTGTTCAAGGTTTGTCCTCCCCTAACATTTTTTTTAAATTTTTGACCAATTTTTTTCTTTGAACTTTCTATAATTTGAAATTGAAAAATACATTGAACTCTTTTTACTATGAAAAACTAATTATTTTTATCAAGAGTTGTCCACCCTTATTTTTTAAATTTTGGAATCAATTTTCTTTTAGTTTTAATTTCCCCTTATTTGACATAATTTTAGTTGAGATTTTTTTGAGCATATGAAAATGGTTAAATGTTACTTTAAAACACAATTTATACACATTTGACACATTTTTTTCATTACGAGATCATTTTTTTATTATAATTTTTAACTTCCCGTAGGGCAAGTTATAGTAATCGCAAAAAAAAAAATGAAAATGAAAATTTTTATATATCTTTACGTTTGAAAGGTTTCTGAACATTTTGGCATACCTTAGAAAAAATGGATGTATGTGTGTGTGTGTGCGTGTGTGTGTGCGGATACAAATTTTCGTCGACGATTTCGGAAATACCGATCAACCGATTTAAATAATTCAAAAAACATTATTATTCGATTCGTATTGATAAGGAGATGTGCTGATTAGTTTTTGGCGAAGGCAGGTCTAGCCGTTCCGAAGATACGGGACAAAAAGTGCTAAAAACGGTAACTCAGTTTTTAAGAGATCGGAGCGTCCGATTTTAATAATTCAAAAAACATTTTACTTGTATTGACAAGATGAATAACTGATCAAATTTTCATGAAGGCAGGTCTAGCGGTTTCGGACATCTAATAAACAAAAAAAAAAGGCATTTGGCGGTCAAAAATGATCATTAGACATATGCACATCAGATTATCAGATATTTTATAGAGATTTTAACAATAAGTATCAATTTTGTTTACATTCCTATGGGTTCCGTACCCATGTTTATTCGTTAGATGACGACCCGGCGCTTACGCGCTTTGACATTTTGTCTCTATGCAGTTAAAGCAGTACAATTGCTTTGAAAAAAAGTTCAGAATTTCCAAAATATGTCAAAATGAAGAAAACATTTTTTTTTCCAAAAAAATTGTTTTTTTTTTCAAAAAAGGTAATTATTTGTCAAATTTCTAGTTTCTCAAAAATTTAATTTTTTCGAAGTAAATTTTTTTCAAAAATGTTAATCATTTTTAAAAAAATAATAATATTTAGTACGGGAAGTACCAGCAATTTGCCTTAAGGCTAGATGCCATGCGCACCACTAGTTTAATGCGGAATTAAAAGATTACATACATTCTTTTTACTTCAAAATACTATTTATTTTTATCAAAGGTTGTCCACCCTCAATATTTTTTTTAAATTCATTTGATTTTAATTTTATTTAATTCAAAATTGAAAAATAAATGGAACTCTTTTTACTTCAATAAACTATATATTTTTATCAAGGGTTGTCCACCACAAACTTTTTTTTAACTTTGAAGGAGAAGTTTATGTTTTCATAAAAAATCCGAATCGCTAATTTTATGTTTCCTCGACGTTTCAAGCCAATCTGAATCGAATGAGACCAAATTTGGAAAAAGTATGTGTGTGTGCGTGTATGTGAACAGATTTTTTGCCGTAAATCAACGTTTTCTCAAAAACGGCTAGACCGATTTCAAAAATTTAAAAGCCATTCGATGTATTTCGACGAGGACTAGCAGTTTTGTGCAACGATAGGCCAAGCCGTTTTTTTATAAATAGCAGAAAAGAGAAAAAAATATCTTATAGATATAGATCATATTAAAATATTACGCCCCTACGGCAACTCATTTAACTTTAAAAATCCGTCAAAGTTTGCAAAAATTAGTATCGTTTTTTTGGCATTTGTCAAAATTAGACCTTTCATCGACGTTTCTCAGTTTTGTGCGACGATCGGCCAGGCGTTTCTTTGTAATTTGGAAAAAAGTGTTAAACTTTTCGTCCACTTTTAATATCATACTACCGAATCAATTTTAAAAAATCAAAAACTGTTCGAAAGATATTAGTTGGGAATGATACTGATTAGTTTTAGGTGAAAATCTATCAAGCCGTTTTCTTGTAATTAACTGCTGAAAAAAAATTTAAGCCGATTTTTATGGAATTTTTTTTACTGAACTTACTGAAATATAACGCCTTACGACAAGTAGTTTATTTTTAAAAATTCATCAAAGTTTTAGAAAATGAGTAGTTTTTTTGACGTTTGTGAAATTTAAAATTAGTCGATTTACTTGGTATAACGATAGAGCACTTGACCTTAATAAACATACTAAACCATTAAAGTCCTACGAAAACTGGTTCAATTATAAAAATAGTTGATTTTTGAAAATTTGCTTTTAGAAAATACTTCGAGTTAACGTGTTCGTTCGTTTGGAATATGTGTAAAAAATCTACTCGAAATACTTTTAATCACTCATAAATTAATTTAATTTATATTGATTAATTCGATTATTTACACATGTTGGAAAGTTCATGTATCTTGCCTCAAGGCGAAACACCAACTAGTTAAATTTTAGAATCAATTTTTATTTAATTTTAATGTTCATAATTCGGAATTAAAAAATGTACACAACTTTAAATTTTCACCCTCCTTCCGCAAATCTCTATTTCATAATAGCCATTTTAGTAATCGAATAATTTTTCACCACGCTTCCAATCAGTGAGCGTTTCATTTACCGAATATTTCATTTATATTATTTTAACCTTGTGACAAAGCATTAATTTTACTTAAAAAAACAATTTATTTTTATCAAGAGTTGTTCACCCCTCCTACTTTCTCATTGTACAAATATTTTCCGATGTGCACAAACAGTTGACACAAAGATGATAAATGGTTTTGCAAAGAGAGCAATTTTTGCAAAGAATTAGAGATTGAATATTAAAATCTGAAGATACAACTGTTTTTGATAGAAAACTATAGGTACCATATAAACCATATAAATTGATATGGCAAAGCTGTAAATTTTCCCACAATCTAATTTTTTTTCAATCTCAGTCAGTTCGCTGGGAATGCTACATAAGAATATAATTTAAAAATGAATTATCTTATTTTGATTCGTAATTCAAAAATATATGAAATAATAAAAACACGGCATTGCATAAAAATGCGCCTGATCGCCCGGCAAATATGAAGATATTTTCATAATTTCTAATACCAAGAACAAGCATAAAAAAACGTTACCATGACAACGCTATTTTATGAGCTCTGTTACGGCAGAGCTCCCATAAATGTGCCAATTCAATTTAAATAGAATCAGTTTTGAGATTACGTTGGCTCTAGCAAAGACTAATAAAGAACATTTATATGTGACGTGCTTTGCAGTGGGTAAACTATTCATATATTTTTTGTTAGCTGCTCTTTTTACTTATGCACCGCATTTGCAATTAGTTAGTTATTTTCGTACTAAACATTTAACACCAGGAATATGTTTTATGGCAAAACAACAATTACCAGGCCAGCTCACAAAATCTTATTAATTTTTTATTTTTAGGCTGACTTTATACAAGAATTCGGTTACCCTGTAGAACAGTATAACGTGACAACAAAAGATGGTTATATTTTATCTCTGCACAGAATACCGCGTTCACCAAAAAATGATCCTTTCCTAAAAACTTTTCAAAATTCTGACAATAAAGTGGTGCTGTTGATACCAGGATTATTTTCAAGTTCTGCTGATTTTGTCCTGATGGGACCTAACAAATCATTAGGTAAAATGATAAATGCAATTTTCTTTGAAAAGTATTTAAACAGATTTTTTATGTTTTAGCTTTGTTTTTATCAGACCATGGTTATGATGTCTGGTTAGGCAATAATAGAGGTAATAAATATTCGCGGATGCACCAAACTTTGGATCCTGATAGTAATCTTGAATATTGGGACTTCAGGTATAATAGTCAATATAGAAACTACAATTGAATATATAAATAAATTAATAAATGATATTAATTTTAAATTAGTTGGCATGAAATGGGAACAGAAGATCTGCCGACAATTATCGATTTTGTTTTGAATGTTACTGGGCAGTCCAAGTTGGATTATATTGGGCACTCACAGGTAATAAGTAAAATAGAATATTTTGCCACAAGTTTATCCATAACTATGTGTTAAGAGCTTTGATCCTGCAACCATAATGTGCCAATTACTATTTCCGTCTCAGGCAGCTTGATATCAAGCAGTAATTAAAGCTATTTCACTCAAAATTATAGATCTAAATATGCTTTCAAGTGAATATCACTATTAATCTAATAATAGTATCATCGCAAAGAAAATGGATAAAACAAGTTTACTTTCCAATATGTTAAAAATTTATGTCAAATTGCCTTTGGACGCATTTTTTTTGAGTAGATGTTTTGTGTAAAGAATGTCATTGTCGTAAAGTAAATCTTGGTCAGAGTGATTCACGATGTCCTGCCGCTGTATTATGCGCTGCCAGACCTTCGTCTTGTGCCCATATTATGCCATCCAGCAAAACCTTGGCTTGATCCTTTGCATCAATGACTAGGTTCGGCTTGTGATTGGTCCATATCATTCATTTCGTCATCTTCAAAGGATAGGACTTCAAAACAGGCATCGACTTCTTCAAGGTTCAAGTATTAATTTACTATGTTGTTCTGGTTTTCAAATTTCGTTGTTTAAGTTTAAGAAACAATTATTTTTCCTGCGGTTTTGGCAATAGCGGGTGACTAGAATGTGTCTGAAGAGTTTTCAGTCCTATCCGTTAAATTAGATCCGTTAAATTGAAGCTTGGGCCGAGAGGTGAGAAACAAATTCTTAATGGGTATTTGAATTATACACCCAAGTCTCGCTATACGGCCGCTCTTTATACGGCCTTTCGCTATAACGGCCCTCTTTAATTAAGGTACGTTTTTGATATACGGCCTAAAATGTTTTGCTATAACGGCTTTTTTTCTCTATGTCAATATATGGTTTTTTTTTTTTGTATTTTTTGTATAGCGAAGGAAATGCTTTTACGCATCCCAGACCGGTCTTCTGCCTGGGTATGTCGGACTCTATACCGCCCTGGTATAATACCGACTAAAACTTCCGCTTTGCCCTTGCCTCTGGTCCCCACGGAAACCGCCGTTAGGCATTACTTCGTGGGGGGAGGGTCTAGAATGATATAAATTCCTAACTTGTTAAATCAATGTTATAAATTCATTAACATTATACTTATCTTTTAAATGGGCGAAGTCCCATTCGCCCTTTCTCTCTCTATAGGACGCAGGTCCATTAAAACGTCTCTCGCAAATCTGTCTATGGCGTTCCAAGCAGCATCACTTGTCAGCATCACTTCAACAACATTACCTGGGGTAATTGTGCGTCTCAATGTCTCCTCCACATCATCCCGTAGAGTTTACTTCGCCGTGCTTGCGACTTAGCCAGACTTTGATGTTAGGAATGAGACGATGCGTCCATCTGCCCTTTACTGCGACATCCCACAGACGCTGCCATCGGTCAATGCTGTTCTGCCGTTATTCTAATCTTAACTTTTCAGGACTCAGTTGTTGTTGACTTTGACGCACACTGCTTCCGCCGATATTGTGCGAAATGCGCAAGCAATTCTTATAGCACTGAGACGGTATAAGGGCCCTGCCATTCTCCTCGATTTTTGAGATTTAAGAGCATCACCCCATATGGAGATACCATATGGCAGCACAGAAGTAACAACTGACGATAGTAATATCCTTCTGGTTTGTTTAGGACCTCCAATATTAGGCATCAGTCGATAACTAACTAACTATTGACGCCTTAGCACTAACGTGTCAATATATTGTGTAATCTCGGTTTTGTGCTGGATCTACTTGCAGCTGATAGGGAACCCCTTTCATATGAGGAACTCATTCAGTTGCAAGCAGAGCCGGCAATTGATGAAGATACAGAATCTGTTGTATCCAAACAGCTAACATCAAAAATCATGTCGAGCGCTTTTTCATATTTTGAACAAGGAATAAACATCCTCCTTGAAAACGATCCTGACGTCGAACGTAGCGCTAATGTGTTTCGAGAAATTAACTCAGCCATTAGCTGTTATAAATCACTAAAGGAAGAAATAGACAAGAAGGCAAGACAAACAACTTTAGACAAATTTTTCAAACCACCAGTGCAAAATGATTGTGACAGTAATCTGTAGGTTTTAGTTGTTTCATTTTTATTTAAAAATTGTGTAAATTTATAATTTTTGTTCTTGTTATATGTTTCTAATTTAAACAAAATAAAAAAATAAAATGCATTTTGAATGATAAACCATATTATATATTTATTAAATTTGGAACCGATCCCATTGAATTTGTATGAATACGTATTAGAATAATTGATTCGTTATACGGCTTTTCGCTTTACGGCCAAGTCCCGCGGAACGTATCTAGGCCGTAAAGCAAGGTTTGGGTGTACTAAGTTCTTGATTAATAGGTAACACAGCAAAACCATCATTACTATGCCTTCTGCTTATGTTTCCTAGAGGCTGGGCTAGAGAAGGTTTTCCTATCGGCAGGTAAATTTTGATCCGCTATGTCGTTATCAGGCGCCGAAGGCTTGACTATTAGTTTACTAATAGTGGGACCAAAAGAATTTGTAGGCTGTTTCTTTACATTTGTCAAACTACGTAAGAGTAATATGCAGCGTGTCCGCGACTTTTAAAAGTGCTCCTAATTGATCTAGAGTAATGTTCACTTGGCCCCGATACATATAATCCATCATTGCTTTAAGTTTCTGGTACTCAACATTCTTCAATATAAATATAGGGTATTTGCCATATTAAAGCCTCAACAGAGAAACAAAACATGGGCTGCAGGCAGATAAAACTACTTTGTGCGTTCTCATGTACTTTTCTTCAGCCGCTAATGTACAATCCACTAACGTTCATTATTGTTCCTACTTTCAAACGTATCAAACAATATTTTACAAGACAAATACTCAACTAATTCATTATTTTTTAGGGTACATGTGTATTTTTCGTGATGGCATCGACAAAACCTGAATACAATCAGAAAATCAGATCAATGCATGCCCTGGCTCCGTCCATCTTCATGTCGCACATGAAAAGCAACGCGCTGAACTGGGCGAACGTTTTAATGGACACAGTACATGTGAGAAAATATTTATGGTTGCTAATAATTTATCTACGACACCTACAAATGTTATATTTAATACTTATCATCGTACTTTCAGGCTACCGAAAATAATTCAAGAGAGATGTTGCGTTATGATGGACGCATCAGTGTAAGTCTTCGAAAATTTTGCATAATGAGTAAGTTTTCTACGAGAATGTGTTATGAGATTATATCAGACATGATCGGACGCGATGAGGAACAACTGGATCTCATTGTGAGTAAAATATAAATATATTCTATAAATAAAACAGTGACTAATCTTTGTTGGTACTTCTAGGGCATTATTCCATTAATTTATCACAATTCGCCTGCAGGATCTTCTACAAATCAGATATTACACTTTTGGCAAAATTATAATACAGGTAGGCAAATCGATTTTTAGTCAGAAACTACTGTTTGAATCTTTAGGAAAAATAAACAGTTCGTTATTTGAATCCATAAGTAATAATTATACTTGGTTTTCCAGTTTTCCAGTTACAATTTAATGTGAATGTAGCCTCTCAAGGACTACATTTAATTAAAACCAACAGTTTAAAATATATTCCACAAGAAAAATACATCACAAAGCATAAATTGTTGTCTTGCCAAATATTGAGTCAAATTTAAAGCATATTTCAAGCAACAAAGCTCATTCGGTATTGAGTTCTCCAAGTGAACAGATCGTGGAATAATCGAAACAAATTTAATTCTTTCAAAATGGGCTCGCCCATAGGTAAGCGGTTAAGAGCGACGGGACTTGTTTCAGAGGTCCCGGGTTCGATACCCACTTCGAGCAGCCTGTTGTCAGGCAACAGTGACAACGATTTTCACTTGGAAATAGAAATAGCAATATGTTTCCAAGTGAAAATAGCCCTCACCCGGCATTGTTGTACCATACTTGCCCTTTTACAGAGATTGTAATAAAAATTTATCATACAGAGATGTGACAACTGTTTGGGTTGCCATCTGTAATAAAACAAACGTAGTTTGTAAGATATTAATCACAACAGCTCATAGAACCCAAAAGTTCTGATCGCTGTTCAAATAAAATTAAAAAAAAATCTTTTAAAATTACATAATGGAATCAGGGCCATACGGCAAAACCGATGGCCAGTCGGACGACATAGACAGTGTGTATAAAATCGGTTTAAGTGTAGCAGGCGATACGAGTAAATTATTAACATCGGAAACGATAAAAAATGCTATTAGCTAAATTAATAATATGGAAAGTGATTTAACTAAAGTGAATAAAAAAGAAACTAGTGGGGTGTATGGCATCGTGCCTTAAGGCAAATTGCTGGAACTTCCCGTACCGTAACAAAATGTTCGAGGAATACTGAATGTTTTCAAACAGATTATTATAAATATTGTAACATTATTGTAATTATTTTCGATATACAAAAAAAAAAAAAAAAAATTATAAAATTTTTTTTTTCAAAATCAATTATTTTCTTAAGACAAGCAGAAAGTCCTTTGAATCATTTAAATCGGACGCTTAGTTCTCTCAAAAACTTTTTACATATTTAGCTCCGTATCTTCGAAATGGCTGGGACTCCCTTTGCCAAAAACTAAAATAATAAACCCTTCTACTAGTCATTACTAATTGAATGTTTTTTAAATCATTCAAATCGGATACTCCGTTCTCTCAAAAAGTCGATTTCTATTTTCTGCACTCGTTGCTCCGTATTTCCGAAACGGCTGGACCTGCCTTCGCCAAAAACTAATCAGCTCTTTTCCCTATCAATAGGAATCGAATGTTTTTTGAACCATTCAAATCGGTTGATCCGTGCGCCCAAAAACGTGACTGGAAATTTGTATCCATACATACATACACACACACACACACACACACATACACACACACATCCATTTTTTCTGAAGTATGCCAAAATGTTCAGAAACCTTCAAAACGTCGAGAAATGTAAAAATTTTCAATTCCGATTTTCGGCCCATTACAATAACTTACTCTACGGGAAGTTAATAAATAGTAAAACAATAAAACAGTTAATGATAGTGTAGCTAATAAAAAAAATAATACACAAAATTGGGCAGAAGAAATGGAAGAAGGCGAAAATAATAATGATCAAAATGTAAGTAAAAATGAAAATAATGATAAAAATAATGATATGAACTCAAATATAAAAGGCGATAATTACAAAACAATGAAGTACTCCGAGAATGATATGGGTCCATTTACCATATATGTTGAATCAGTAGACAAAGATAAAAATACAGTACATCAAATGACATTAGGCGGAATATTATTTAGCAGTTTACCTCAATATAAAAACGATATTACAGAAATAAAATCCATAGGCATTAACAAAATTAAAATTACGTTTAATACATATGACGCAGCCAATAAAATAATTAATGAGAAATTATTAATGGAAAAGAAATTAAAAGCATAATTACCTATTTCTATGTTGATTAGGAAGGGTGTTATATATGACGTCGGCACCGAAATGACTGAATCAGATATTATGGAAAATATATAATCAGAAATTCCTGTTCTAGATATCAACGCTGTCGTTGCATCTATCAAGCTCCAGTTACATGTATATGCTGCTGTCGAGCGATGGACGAAAAAATGGCGCATTGTTATTAACGAGAGCAAATCTTGCCATATTACATTTTCTTTAAACAAACTAAAATGTCATGAGGTTTACTTCAATTGCCAGAAAATTCCACCAGCTGAAAATGTTAAATATCTGGGAATATATTTGGATCGAAAACTTTCATGGAAAACCCACATTATGGCTAAAATAAAACAAATGAAACAGAAGATTGCAGACCTGAATTAGCTAATGAGGCGCATATCAATCCTATCGCTTGACAACAAGCTACTGATATATAAATCTGTAATAAAGCCCATCTGGACCTACGGTATAGAGCTTTGGGGTTGCGCCAGCATGTCTAACATTGTTTTAATGCAACGGATGCAATTCAAAATCTTAAGGCAGATCACCGACGCACCTTGGTATGTAAGTAATAAAATCATCCATGACGACCTCAATATTCCTTTTATTAAGGATGTAATTAGTAGCATAAGTTCAATCCATCATTCCAAGCTAGAAAACCATCCAAATCATCTTATAGCACCTCTACTTATGACTCCGTCTACTAGAAGGTTGAAGAGAAAAATTCTTTTGGACTTGACATAACATAGTGAGCTGTTCATTGGAACAGTTTCATGAATTAATTAGTTTACATTATAATTTTACCTTTAGTTTTAATTATGTTATGAGTTGTAATTATTATTATTTTTTTTCTATTTTTATTTTAATTTATTATATATTATTGTAATTATATCAGCTCTGTAACTCATAGAGTCATTCTGAATCTGATTGTTATAATTAATAAAATAAAAAAAATAAAAAAAGATATTAAAAGAATAAAAAAACAAAACAATGCTTTAAGTACCAACAAGGGTATGCGTGATAACGTTCAGAGGTCAACGTTTACCTAACCGTGTTTCGATATACGCTGTCAAATACAGGGTCGAAACATACAACAAAGTGACACAATGTTTCAAATGCCAAGGAATGGGCCACGTGACCAGTCAATGTAAAGGTAAAGCGAGATGCAGCTATTGTGCACAAGAACACAGTTTCAAGGATTGTGTAAATAAAGAAAAGAATCCGGTTTGTGCGTTATGCAATGGGGAGCATCAAGCCATTGATAAGAAGTGTCAAAAATATTTGTATCATGTTGAAATTAGAAATATAATGAACGAAAATAATATAAGTTTAAAGAAGCCAGAGCATTTATGAACAACAGAATATATGCCAACGTTATAAGTCCGGACATAGAAACTAGAAGCAAAATGAAATTTCCTGAATTGCCCAATGCGCAGCTGGAAAAACATGTAGTAATAAATCAACAGCCAGTAACCACGAAGCCTTCAGTAGCAATATCTAAACAGACATATAGAAATAACAATTCCATAAACGCAACAAATGATAGTGATAACAACAAAACAATTGAAAATATGCCCAGTACACAGGAGTGAAGCAGGTACAAATTTAAGTACAATATTAATACAAAACAAAAATCTTCCTCATATGAAAATAGTGAGAGAGTTGAAATACCATTTGATAAGTTAATTGAAGAAACAATTCAGAACATTAAAAAGAAAAAAGATTATACATCAAGAATTATGAAAGAGTTAATTAAAGATATGAATAGATGACAAAAATGATATAAATATTATAATATACGAGTATATATTACAAATATATATATTAGATATATTACAAATAAATGTCTGAAAAAATAAAAATACTACAAATTAATTGCAGATCTGTTACAGCTAATAATGCCAGTATTGAACATTTCCTTTATGAGAATGAAATTTCAATCGCGGCTTTCACGGAAACATGGTTTAAACTTGAATATTAATACTCTTTTTTCAGAGGATATCGAACGTTTCGCAAAGGCAGGGAAGATGGATATGGAGGAGCAGCAATCATTGTGAGGAATTTCCTTCAGTCAACAATAATGAGAATATACAAATATGCGCTGCCATTATTAAAACAGATATTCCATTTTGCATTCTTTCAGTATACTGCTCTACTAAAACAGAATTAGATTTTTCAGATATCAAGGACACAAACTCAACAATCAACACGAGTTTTTAATTACCGGCGATTTTAATTGTCATCATATGGCATGGGGTAGCAAATACAATAGCAGGGAAGGTAATATGTTATATGAAATCATAGAGGACAACGCAATACTAATTCTTAATGATGAACGTCCAACTACAGTAGCAAATAAATACAGGAGTACTACGAACTTAGATCTAACACTGTACTCAGGAAATTTTATAGATGCAACTAAATGGGATGTATGCCAAGAAGTATTGGGATCGGATCATTTGCCTATAATAATAACTTTGGAGATAAAGGCCTTCAGTCATAAGAACGCGCCCTACAAAAAAGTGGAATATAAAATTTGCTAACTGGCAGGGATTTTCCCGAGAAATTATGAAGTACATCCAAATAAGGCAAATCTCAGAAGATATAACAGCAAGATATAAACGTATGATACAGATTACCGAAAAATCTGCTGAGAAAAATATAAAACAATATAAAGAAATAAAGAGACCGATTTTTAGGCCTGCCATATCAAGGGATCAAGATTGCGAAAAGCCATTTCAGATAGAAGAAGAACATATAAAAAGATGCGTCAGCACTGTAATTACGAAAACTTCATACAATACCAAAAAATCAATGCACGCACTAAAAGGTTTTTAAAAAACAAGAAAAAAGAAAGTTGGCTGAACTTTATTAATTCCATCAATAAGAACATGAGTACCGCAGTAATTTGGAACAAAATTAAACACTTTAAAAATAAAAATAACATTATAAACACAACACAA